TGAGAAGTACTTGAAAATAATTAAATAATAAATGATAGAGAAGACAGTCATAAGATTACTGCAGTTTTTACTAGATAATGTACACTTTCCTTTCTGGGAAAATGGCAAATATTTAATAATATTTGATTATATACATTACACTTATAATTTTCCCCTCTTGGCCAAGTACCTGAGAAAGTTCTGTTCAGATCAAGTTGTCTAGAAAATTCTGTTTATTCCTTTATTTCTTATAGTGTTGATATAGATGAACTGAATCATAAACAGTTATTTATAAAGTCTCGCATAATTTTGATACAAAGCTATAGATACAGGAAACACAGTGAGAATCAAACTCACCACTAATTATCTGTAATTTTTTTTTTATAGTTTATGAACCCTTTTTGGGTCATTTAATGCTGAAACATATCAAATTGTAGGAAGTTATTTACAGCACCCAGTGTTCCTTATCTAAGATTATCACTGCTCAAGTTTGGTAATTGATTGAGAACCACAATGATCCTTGAGATAAGCTTGCTAACAATGAGGGACGATTTGTTAAAATCTATATTATTCAATCTTTTGCTTTCAAAAATTTCATTTTTTCATTCCTCTATTTTATATTTTTGTTGACATTAAAAATAATCTAAGTCTAAAAATAATTACATATCATCTGATACAGTGAATTATGATAGCAAATTAATGTTTCCAGCTAAACAGAAATAAAACAAATTCAAATTACAAATAGTTTTGAAACTCATAAAGGTACATATTAATTTTGTTCTTATAGAAAGATACTGTCAATGTCCTTCACCTACAAATGTTATGTGACTAAAAGCACTTAAAGCCAGCATGCTCTTGAAAAATAAAGTCAGAAGGTAGATGTCAAATTATGAAAACAATGTCAGTGTCAATTCTAATCAAAACAAAGCTATAATTTCATATAACCTTTTAAAGCTGATTGTTAAGTGAAATTAGTTCTTGAAAATCCATGATAGACATTAGTCCACATCATTTCCCATCATTTCAGTCTGGTTTCGTCAATAAGTCTCCTTCGATTTGTTAATCATAGTCGGATGATTTCACTTTGTATCCTTAGCTTTTATCATCAACAATCCACGTGAAAAATAATAAATTATTTGTAATTCATTGATATTTTTGTACTATAATTTCTTTTTTGTTTTGTTAATTCTTTCAATATTTTGCCACAGATTGAATGAAAATAAATATTTGTTAAAAACGAGAATGTTTTCTTCAAGTCCAACCACTTTCAAATGGTAATAATGATAAAGTCAGATAAATTTTCTTTGATATTCTTGATTGATTTCACCAATGATGACATAACAAGCTACATATCCAAGATATTTAATTTGGTTGCTATATATCTATATCCATAAAACATGAAGATGTCTGTGCATGTCTGTCTGTATGCTATTTATGCATGTCCATATTTCTCAACTGATTTCAATGAAATTGTACATACATGTTACAAATTTACTAAGTACAGAAAGATCATTTTTCAATCTCCAAGCCCACTCCGCCCCCGGGTTTGGCAGAAAATTTGCTAAAACTGAAGGTGAATATGACTTTTTGTCGAAATCAAGGCAAAGTTACACATGAACAAAATTTTTACTGGATGAGCTGATGTTCTTTGCACTTAATGCAAAACATAGCTCATGCTATGAGGTTTATTTAGAATGCATGATAGTTTTCCTGTGACATTGGCTTCACACAAAAAATTGCAAAAAACTGTGAAAAAATTGGGTTTTTTGTATTACTTAAAATAAAAACTTGAATAACCTCCTCATTTTTTATCCAATTTTCTTCAGACATGTCACAGAAATTTGCCATTATGTAAGAAATAAGACAGCATGGTTTTAGTCCTGCTTATTTCCCCACATATAATGAAAACCATGTAAAACTGTTCAAAATGCCCATTTTTTGGCCATAAATAATTTTCCCCTCTTTCTAATCTTTTTCTTTTATTTTATATAGAATTACAATCTACTTTTGACCACTGTGAATGTTGTTAATTTATTGGCAATTAAAATTTATCATATATCATCATAACTACACATTCTATAGGCTAATTATATGACATCAAACATTGATCACTTTTCACAGTTCTTTTCTCTGTAACATCAACCAAAACATTAAAACAAATTCTCTTCATTGTAAATCATTAATTTTATAAAATAGTTAGCACTATATTAAATCAATCTTACTTGCTCTTGTCACTAACAAAATGACAACCATTTAATGTCACATGCTGTAAACATTAATGAATTATATAAATAAATAATGGCCATGCGTAAATATTTCTGATGGCAACAACGGCAACAACAGCAACAACAGAGAAAAAACATTTCTTTTTGGCTATAAAGGATTTAAAATTTCTGGCTAAACAGAAATAAAACAAATTCAAATTACAAATACTTTTTAAAATCATAAAGGTACATATTAATTTTATTCTTATAGAAAGATATTGGCAATGTCTTTCACCTACAAATGTTATATGGCTATAAGCACTTAAAACCAGTAAGTCTTTGTAAGACATTAACATGATCTACATAAGTAAAGAAAAAAGATGCAAATATGATTTACAGCATGGAGAGAACAAAAATAAATTTATTTCTAGACACTGAATCAAATGAAAATCCAGGGCAATATCAACACAACACAAAATACTTACAGTTTTACACACACACGTGTGTGTGTGTGTGTGTGTGTGTGTGTGTGTGTGTGTGTGTGTAAAATTGTATATATTAAAAAAGAGAACACCAAGTTTCACTGGATAATAATAGAACCTCATTTGACTGTATATTAAAACTGCCAAGATTTTTCAAACCTCTTTATGAAAAACAAATAAAAAATTGTTTTCTGTAATTAATCAAATTTTAATAAATCTTGGCTGGTGGTGACATAAAAAACAGATGTTCTCCCTTTTACCCCCAAATAAATACAACACATATAGTGTAAATACATCAACATCAATGTGAATGTAAAAAAATCACCTTTATTTCACTCTTAATGGTAGGATGGACAGCAATCATCAAGAATGTAGGAGGAAAAAAAGAAAGAGAGAGAGAGAGAGAGAAACAATGACATAATAAATATTTAGGGAAGTGTCAATTGTTAGACAAAAACCTGAGATTTAAATCAGATAGTTTTATATTTTTATTTTTTTTAAAACTGACATTTTAATATCATGTTAAAGGATCTTTTTTTAAAAAAAAAATAGTTGAAATATCTGAAAAAAGTAAATACATTTTAAATTTAATAAATATTTCTGAGAAAAAAAGTTATTGTCTCTGAAGCTCATTGTTCTGAAACTTTTCAATCACTTGTGGCATTTACTTATGGAATGTAAATGGTGATAGGATATTGGAAATATTTTATTTAACAGTACAACAGCAGAAAGTTTTAATAATTATATATTGTCTCAAAACAGAAATGCAACTATCAATCTCATCACTTACAGATTTGGCTTTTCAAAATATTTTAGGATTTATTAAAATAAACTTTGTTTATAAATCTTGTGCATCTCTGCCATTATGCTGATATCTGAACAGGTTTGAGGTGTATTTCTAATAATGAAAATGACCATAGCAAATACTTATGAGCTAATTTCTCAGTAAAGATAAGAAATTATTTATTTAACCTTTAGCACTCTGTATATAACTGACTTTATTTGTCAAACAAAATGTTTGTACAGCCACTGCATGCAACTCTGATCATCAGATAATAGTGTGGTTAAATTTTGTGCTAATGTTGTCATATCCTACTATGGCAACAGAAAAATGACTAACTGAAAATCAAAGATGATGCTACTGCTGCAGTCTGGCCACTTAAACCCAACGGATAAAATACTTATGGATATTGCAGAGTGTGAAAAGTTAAAATGAATTACCATAAGCAACAACCACAGATTAATGTTCAAACTAAAACATATGAGTTCATCAAAATATTTGCTTAAATAATTTCTTATATATAATTTATTAACTTTTGATTGATCCACAAAAACTATAATTTACCTGCTAAAAGCTACATTTTTTTTCATTAGCACACAGTTGATGATAGAATACTGACTCATTATTCCATGTCAAAAAAAGCAACAGATATTTTTTAATATAGCCTTGTTGCTAAAACTCACAGAAGTAAATAAGAAATAGGTTATATTTTTTGAGTCCATTTGAAAACTTCTGTTATTAAAAGATTTTAAAATATAACCTTTAGTTAACATTTATGAGATAGATATTTGTTTAATTGAATCTATCTATGCTTGATTAGGAGGAATATTTTTGATTTTTGGCATTTACATGCAAAAATGAAAATAAAATAATTTTTCACTAATTAAAAAAAAAATGATCCCTCCTCTTTTGTTGCTTTTCTGTCTGCTTCTCTATTTATCATTTGAAATCCTAATTAAATGTTAACCATTAATTAGATAAAATAAGGAAACAAAAATCAATAGAGAGTTTGGGAGTTATTTTCATCTTAGTTATAGTAACAATAAGATTATTATATATACATTTATTATATATATATTTATAATCCTCTATCAAACCTGATAGCATAATGAGTCAATACACAGATGGTTAGAAGTTTGATGTGCCTCATGAACATATGGTAAATAACAACTGGTATTACTGGTAATAAATTCCAATTATATGAAAACAGATCTTTGATAATTCTGACCATTTTTTTTCAATTCAATATTATGAATAAATAATTAATTTCAGAATAAATTGAATGACTGATTAATTTCTTTGCTTGTTTTCTACTTTGTGTATTATTTAAAGCCACAAAGATTTTTACATTATAAGAATCTTTTTGAGATAATAATAATTTTAGTGATACAAGTTTTATTAATTAACCCATAGCTGGAGAAGAAAATATGGATTCATACCTTTCCTTGAGGTATTTGCACATAAGTGAATATGATAAACCCAACTAAAATTGGAACTCAGCTCTCCGATTAACAATTCTGAGATGTTATCCCTTGTATGACCTGCACACCTAAGCTTACAGCACCTTGTATTCCCAAGCAGTCACCCATCTAGGTACTGACCAGGCTCAACGTTGCTTAACTTTGATGATCGTATGGAACCTGTATGTCCATAAGCCTCAGAATAAATCATGTCCAATTAAAACTTATGGATAATGCTTTTGAAAAGCATAAGCTTGATTAAACTATAATTTTATAGGAGCAGAGATACAATATTTAAAAGCATTTTATGAATTAGATTTTATAAACTCTGTCTATTGACAGTCTAAAACTTATCTATAAATATAAATTAATTTAAAATCTTTAAACAAGGATACTATATTGCAACAAGCTGATTTAGGATTTATTAAATAAATATGTTAATTTTTCATTCTTTCTAATGACAGAGCAAATTTCTGATAGTATGGTTGAACACACAAAACAATAATCCCAAATGTATTTCAGAGATGACATCATTATCAGTTGTCAAGAATTAAGGAATTGCTGCATTAATGAGGCCATCATATACATAATTATCAATTTTCTCCTTTATAACAACTTTTGTTTTATATATTTAGATGTTCAACAGCAGTAATAAAATTCCTTTATTATTGGTATTTCTTATTTTCTAGTATATTAGAAAATAAATCAGGTTTGGTCACATCCTGATGACCACTCAAACAGAGTCATCTACCAGTCTGACCCACTATCTGCAAACTGGAGATGACCTCATGGCAGACCATGCAGCCGCAAGGAGGACATTGTCTGCCAGGACCTCCAGCAGACTAATCTGGTGCTGGATAATGTTCCAAATCTCTGCTAATACTGCAAGAATTGGAGGGACAAAGTAGCTCTTGTTGGCTCAACACCTTTATAGCATGAGATTTAACAGCAACAGTAGAATATTAAGAAAAATACAAGTCTATATGAAACTTATTTCTAAAAGGGTAAAGGAAAACAAGTATATTTGGATTATTCTTAAAAATATTCTTTCATTATCAAATGGATTCCAGAGTGATTTTTCTACACATCTACTTTTTTATCACAAAAAAAATAGACTGATTGTGTCAGCCACCATGAAAAGGAGATCAAACATAGAAAAATGAGCTGAATACTCAAAATATTATATTTTCTTTGAAAATGATCAATGAAGGTTAAAAGCAATGAAGAAATAAACTTCATAATTTTCTGAAGTAATATAAAAGTGTATAACATAAAATCTATTTTCAATGTACAATAAAAAAAAATCATGATTAACTGATGAGGGTATGCAAGTTTTCATTCATTACATTGATATAATTCTAAATACAAATAATAACAGTACAGATTTCTGATGATTTTGCATAGTATTTAAAATGCAAAATGATTTATAGGAAGCTAAACTGAATTATTTGTAGACATGCAAAAATATATTAATCATCATAAAGTGAAAAAAATGTATAAAAATTAACATTTATTTTCAGCTGTTAGTTGTAATACCTCAAGGTACCAGAAATGTGTGTCTGGGCTAATAGAATATTCAGAAGTAATGAAAAATCACTGACAGTTCAGATATTACAAATAATCTATAACTGTTAATGTTTTCAATTTTGCAGTTTCTAGTTTCATAACATTTTCAATTAACACATCTCTGATACACTTCAAATCTTATTTTCTTATTTATTGCAAAATTTATCTTACTAAATGCAAAAATTGGTTATTTTCTTTGATATGACAAGCAAAGCTTGTTGAAAAAAATTCTTATAAAAAAGCCAATAAACAAAAAATTAAACAAACTGCTTATAGTCAATGAACTTTGAATTTGCTACTTTTTTAAGTCCTTAAAATATCTGGTTGGAAGGAAAGTTCTTGAGATTTAAAGAATATTAAATTCATTTAAAAATACAAGAACCTGTCTTCCAATTAGGTAGTTGTTTCAGTTCCTAATTACACAATTTTCACTTTATATAAATAACACGGGAATCACATGCCTAGAAACACTAGTTGTTATGCTTTAAGCTGGGTTAAAATCAATTTTAGAATGGAGAATTTCATGAAATTATTTTTTTTGTACAGCTGATATAATTGAAAACTTAGAAAAGGAAAAAGATGTTACCTAATTTTCTGAAACAATCTTCAGATTTTTGTATGTATATATATATATATATATATATATATATATATATATATATGAGAGATAATAATATATAAACTTTTACATATCAAGAACAATATAGGGAGAAAATGTATGACAAAGTTTTTGTTTGACATGTTTCATTCATTAGGACTTCATCGGACTAAATTTGTTATGTTACTGCAACTACACATGTACAAATAAGAGGTGATGGGAATTTTAATTTATATATATATATATATATATATATATATATATATATATATATATATATATATATATATATATATAATTTCATTTAATTTCTTTTTCTTATACATATATATATATATTTATGTGTGTATATAATTACAAATGTGCAATTTATTAAACATTTACCAAAGCATAAAATATCTTTTTAACTTGCAGAATATTTCTCTTGAATAATTAAGATAGATCTTGAACTTTTATTAATAACCATCTAGTGTTTCTTTCACATAAGACATTTTTTTAAAAACATTCAACAAATATTAAGGACTCACTTAAGTAGACTGCAAGAATAATGTTTAGACTAGAAACCAATTAGAGAATAAAGCCAACAACTAAATGCTTTTTATTTTTTAAAGCAATATAATATTTTATATAGTAAAATGGTTTTATATTTCAAAAGCATACACTGCTACTGCATGTCAGAATAACATGTAAAATAGTAGAAAAGTGAATTTGACACTAAACATGACATTGTAAAAGTGGATTTACAGTCATGCATTATCATCACTAACATATAGACTTGTTGAACTAAAGTTCAACATGCACACAGCTGTTCACTTGCACAATATTCATTATTGTTTATAACTAACTATAAGATTAACAACAATGAGGAAAGAATTGTTAATTGAAAAAGACTTAACTTAAAAATCAATTAAAAAATAACTACAGAAGCAAAATATAGAGATAAAAACAATAAAAAAAAAAGTGGGAAGAAACACATTATACACCACATAGAATGCTACAAGGCATCAAGTTGATGCAATTGGTTAAAATATCATGCAGAAAATAAGCTAAGTCAGCTGCATATTTGATAACACTTTATGTTTCTTAATTGAAAAAGTCAATCATTTACAATCATGAAATTTTATAGACCAATATTTGATCAGAGATAATATTATAAATCAAAACCTGGATTTTCATTTATAAAAAAATGGTTATTTTATACATACAATTACAGATCTGATAATATAAACAGACTTTGGAATAACAACTATGATAACTGAATTAGTCTCACTTAGTTTAAGAAGGTACACTTACATATATTCCTAAAAAAATGCAAACCATGTTTCTTTTAAAAAATCCTTCACTTTGAAAATGGAGATTTGTTGCAAAGATCAAATATTTTAGGCATATTTACTTACAATTAATTACCATATCAGTTACATTTTTGTTTTTATAAAACAATAATGAAACTTTGAAAAAGGAATCAGAAACTATGGAAGTAGGTAAATATTATAGAACAGCTATTTGAATTAAAACAGAATGAAATTGTAGCAGGAATATTTCTGGAAATTATACAATGGATAATTTTAAAACATTATCAAAGATGAATGACATGAATATTTTCTGGCCTTGCTTGGTATGTTGAAAAATAATTTTTCTTAGGAATCAAATGTTATTTTTTCTTTCTTTTCTCTTTCTCTCTGTCTTCTCCTCTCTCCCCCTACCCTATCAAACTATATATATATATATATATAACAACAATGAGGAATACATCTAGAGATAGCAACTTAAAACCATTATTCTACATTTCATGACAACTGTAATCATCAGACATTCCTGGTTGTTGTTGTTGTTGTTGTTGTTGTTAGTATTATGTCTTGGTTTTGTTTTCCATTTCAGGTTTCTTTATACTACAGGCATTGGATATTACTGGTTTGTGTTAATATAGGTTCCCATTTCATTTTTTACAGGCTTTGATAGGATCCATTTTGTAATGAAAGATTGAGAAATAAAGAGATGGGTTAAAAACTGAAAATTTCCAAAAATAAAACACCACAAATGGTAAAACATTTCAAGTTTACAAACTGGACAAAACATGCTTATGTATTTTGGCTTTGTTAGTAGCAAAATGTCAAACCAGGCAACCATTTTGGACAGTGATTAAACAGTGAACCTGCTGCAGATTTTGTAACCTGTAACTTATTATTATCCAACTGAATACATTAAAAATAAATGATATGATACTGGTTTTCAACTTCTGAGGTTAAGTATCCATTTTCTTTGTCTTCATAAAATTGGTTAAAAAAGCAAAACCAATGATTCTATAAGATATTAATGAGTCAATGTTGTGATTTCATCAGGACTTTAATATTATATTGCAATCTGAGTTGTTGAAGTAAAAAATCTTGAAGGAAAATTACTGTTGATATATCTAGTTGTTGTAATAAAGTATGTAAAAATCAATCCATATTAGTGAGACATAAAATATCACAATATTAATGTACAATCCACTGAGCAATAAAAACAAGAATTTTTGTGCTGTCTTTGTGGAAGAGTGTAAATCACTTGCAGATTATTCATTTTTTAAATCTGTGACATAATTAATGGTTAGTTTTAATTTTGTGGTGTAATAATTCAGTTTTATAAATATATATGTTTCATATATAATTTTCTAATTTATATATAATAAAAATTTAGCAGATGTGGGCCTTGAGAGATCTGAATAAGACATGCACATTTCTTAAATAGTTTAATTCAACTTTGCTTGACTGTGAAAGTCTTTAATGGCTGTGTTATCTAAAAAAGCATGCTACACTTAATAGTGGTTTCCCCTACAAGAGGGTGGGTGCAGGTTTGAACACTGATGGAAGAAGCATTGTCTCTATGAAGACTCAAAGGCACAGTCTGGTAGATACACTGTTTTAAAAAACAGGATGCTCTACTGAAACAAGTATCCACTAAATATAAAGTTCATATTAATAAGAATATATATATATATATATATATATATATATATATATATTGGCAAATAATAATTTATTT